AGATTATAAACTTAAAAGAAAATCTCAATATCACATATTTATCACAAGAAAGAAAAAATTGTTGAAGGATATGCTTGTCCGGTTCACAATCACGATGTTTCAAGTTTTTTTTAGAAAGATGAGATTCTCTCTTTTTAGAACAAGACAAAACTCATTTTCTCTCCCCTCATCTTTTTTCCTTCTTTTATTTTCCTTTCCACGCCAAGTACGATCTTCTCTCTTTTTTCTTTTCTTTTTCTTTTTCTTTTTTCCTTTTTGTCCTTTTTTTCATTTTTTTTCTTTTTCTAAAAAAAAATGAAAAGGAAAGAAAATTCATCTTCTTCCCCATCTTTCGTTTACCTTTTTTTCCTTTCTAACCGTCATTGTGTTCTCTTTTCTGGCAAACCCACAACGGCCTCTTCACCACGGATACCTTACCAGATCCACGGTGACAATGTTCTGGTGCAACTCGACGTGACCCATCGATGTTCCGATGAGGTTCTACGGCAGTGCAATTAGACCCATGGGCAAACCCATGCAAAGAATCAAGCAGATCTTATTGAAGGGATGATTCAAATGTAACTTAGTGACACTAAATGTGGTGGCACTAAGTAAATGGGATAATGGCTTCTAAATTTATGGGAGCACTACCTTAATGGAGTAGTGGGTCTAGTTAGTGGTTATGTACATGCTATTTATGTTATCATTGTAAGCCTATATAAAAGCACAACATCATCAATTTTCAATCAATCAAACTAAGCATTTTGATATTCTCTTCATATTAGTTTGCCTCTCTATTTTAGCTTTTGCATAGTTTCATTGTTTGTTCCCAACAAATTTGGTATCAGAGCAAGGTTTGAGAGAGTGAGTTGAGTGTAAACATATGAGTTAGAGTATAAACATAAAGAGAGATCGATGGGCAGCAACGACAATGCGATGAGTGCGGCACAACCACTCATCCCCATCTTCGAATGAGAAGGTTACGAATTCTGGAGCATTCGTATGAGGACTCTACTCAAATCTCAAGACTTATGAGAGTTCGTGCAAATCCCGACGACGAAGGCAGATTGCGGGAGAACAGGAAGAAGGATTCCAAGGTATTGGTGATCATTCAATAGGCGGTCCATGACAGCGTCTTCTCGTGAATCGTAGCGGTAACAACGTTGAAGCAGGCATGGTCTATTTCACAAAAGGAGTTTCAAGGCAATTCGAAGGTCCTCGTAGTGAGATTGCAATCACTCAGGCGTGACTTTGAGACCTTGATGGTGAAGAATGGAGAATGGATCGCTGATTTTTTGTCAAGAGCAATGACAATAGTCAGTCAAATGCGGTCCTACGACGAGATGATTACCGACCAGATCATTGTTGAAAAGGTACTTAGAAGTTTGACTCCAAAATTTGATCATGTAGTACTTGTCATAGAAGAATCAAATGATTTGTCGGTTTTTACATTTGATGAACTAATGGGTTCTCTTCAAGCTCATGAGTCGAGGATTAATAGATCGCTTGAAAAGACCAAATAAAAAGCATTTCATGTGAAATAGGTAGCTCCCAAATTTGGAAAAAATGATCATTTAATGAATCGAGGCTGCGGAAGAGGAGGATTTCGTTGTCGAGGTCGTGGTTTCGGAAGAGGTAGAGTAAGATTCGAACGACAAAGGCAGTCCTACGAGCAAACAAGTAACAAGAATGGAGTTCGATGTTACCACTGCAAAAGCTATGGTCACATAAAGGCAGACGGTTGGTACAATGATCAGAGAACCAATTTTGCTGCAAATAATGAAGTATCGACGAATGCTGGAAGTAGTACGCTTTTTATGGCTCATGTAGAAACTAATCAAAAGCTAAGTGATGTTTGGTTTGTAGATAGTGGTTGCTCAAATCATATGACAAGCACAAAATCCATCTTCAGAGAACTTGATGAGGCAGAAAAGATGAAGGTGCAACTTAGAAACTGCAAAGATCTACAAGTTGAAGGCAAAGGTATGATGGCTATTGAAACTATCCATAGTAAACTCAAGCTCCTTCATAATGTTCAATTTGGACCCGATTTAGGATACAATTTATTGAGTGTTGCACAACTAATGGCTAGTGGATATTCCATAATATTTGATGATGGTGCCTGTGTGATCAAAGATAAGCAGACAGGTCAAGAGATGGTCTAGGTTAAGATGACCCAAAGCAAAATGTTCATATTAGAAGTCTCAAATGTGGGAAGTTTTGTTCTTGCTGCTGAAGGAAGAGATGACTTGAAGTTGTGGCACTCGCGATACGGGCATCTCAACATCAAGGGTTTGTCATTGCTAAATCAAAGAGGTATGGTTCTTGGGCTACCCAAAATTGCCTTTATTGATTTATGTGAAGGGTGCATTTATGGAAAACAAACCCGGAAGTCATTTCCTAGTGGGAAGGCTTGGAGAGCCTCTAAGTATCTTGAATTGGTTCATGTCGATTTATGTGGGCCTATACAAACTAAGTCTCTTGGTGGGAGTCGTTATTTCTTGCTTTTTACTAATGATTATAGTCGCATGAGTTGGGTGTATTTTTTGGAAAACAAGTTAGAGACTTTTGAGAAATTCAGACACTACAAGGTTAAGTAGAAAAGCAAAGTGGAAAATTCATAAAATCTCTTCGTAGCGAAAGATGTGGAGAATTCTTGTCCAATGAGTTCAAGCATTTTTGTGAAGAAAGTGGCATTCATAGGGAGTTGACAACTCCTTACACTCCGGATCAAAACGGTGTCGCCGAGAGAAAGAATCGAACCATTATGGAGATGGCGAAAAGCATGTTACACGCAAAGGGCATCTGAATCAATTTTGGGAAGAGGCGGTAGAGACATCTATCTATTTATTGAACATATCTCGAACAAGAACGATCATGAATGAAACCTCATATGAAGCTTGACATGGAAGGAAACCATCTGTAAGCATTTAAGAGTTTTTTGTTGTATTTATTATGCTTTGGTACACTCTCAAATTCGTCAAAAACTTGATGAAAAGTCTAAAAAGTGTATTTTCATTGGTTATTGTACTCAGTCCAAAACATATAGATTATATGACCCTCTTAATGACAAAATTCTAACAAGAAGGGATGTAATATTTGATCAGAATGCAAGCTAGGATTGGTAGAACTATGAAGAAAGGTTACAGCTACAAGTTCCATTGGTGAATGAAGAATCGACAAATGAAAGTCCACAACTAACTTCATCAAGCTCCGATCAATCCTCTACTAGTTCATAAACTTCGACACCTTCAACAAGTATGGCTGACGGGCGGAGCATATCAAAAAATAAGTTTTACCTTCCCTTTTCACATAAAAGGTGGGCTCGTTTGCACTTCTTATGAATCCATTTTGCTGAAAATAGCCATCAATCTTGCTATACCACGCCCAAGGAGCTTGCTTCAACCCGTACAACGTCTTCTTCAACTTCTACACCTTCAACAAGTTCCCCGTCATCGCCTCAAAGTTCAAACTCTATAGGATCATTGGACGAATCACCGTCAAGAAAGTTTAGATCCTTGTCTGACATTTATGAATCTTGTCAGTTTGCTTTAATGATTTCAGATCCAATATGCTATGAAGAAGCAGTATGAAAGAAAGAATGGTAAAAAGCGATGGTGGAAGAATTGGCATCGATCGAGAAGAATGCAACTTGGGAGATGGTGGACTTACCGGAAGGCAAAAATGCAATTGGCTTGAAGTGGGTGTTCAAGACAAAGTTCGCCGTAGATGGAAGCATACAGAAGCACAAAGCACGGCTTGTGGCGAAAGGATATGTGCAGAAACATGATATTGATTTTGAAGAAACTTTTTCTCTAGTAGCTCGTTTTTAAACTGTGAGAATAGTTCTAGCATTAGTGGCACAACTGCAGTGGCCGGTTTATCAGTTTGATGTGAAGTTGGCCTTCCTCAATGGAGATTTACAAGAATAGATTTACGTAGCACAACCAGAACGTTTCATAAAAGAAGGCAAATAAGAGAAGGTGTACAAGTTGAAGAAGGCATTGTTGTACGGGTTGAAGCAAGCTCTTCGAGTGTGGTATAGCAAGATTGATGGCTATTTTCAGCAAAATGTATTCATAAGAAGTGCAAACGAGCCCACCTTGTATGTGAAAAAGGGAGGTAAAAATGATTTCATCATTGTCAGCCTTTACGTTGATGATATCATTTATACTAGTTCCTCTGAATCCCTTATCGCTAAGTTTAAGTCACATATGAAGAATGAGTTCGAGATGTCAGATATGGGTTTATTGCATCTCTTTCTTGGTCTTGAATTCATCAAGTTGAAGGAGGAATTTTCATCTCGCAAAGAAAGTATGTCAAGGATCTTCTCAACAAGTTCGGCATGCTTAATTGCAAGCCTGCAACTACACCTATGAATATGAATGAGAAATTGCAGCAGGAAGATAGAGATGTCATGACGTATGCTACAAAATTCATTGGAGGCTTAATTTATCTTACCCACATTTGACCCGATATTGCATTTTTTGTTGGTGTTATTTCCAGGTTTATGAAACACCCATCAAAGAATCACTTTGGAGCAACTAAGCGGGTTCTTCGATACATTACTGAAACAATGGAGTATGAAATTTGGTACTCTAAAGTATCTAATTTCAAGCTATACGAATTCACAGAAAGTGATTGTGTGAGTTCATTGGATGACAAGCGGAGCATATCAGCAAATGTGTGTTTACTGTAGGACCGATAGTAATCACCTAGAGTTCAAAAAAACAAGTCACGACGACATTATCGTCTTCGGAAGCAGACTACGTCGCAACAACTTCAGCCGCGTGTCAAGCAATTTGGATAAGAAGAATATTAGCCGAGCTTCAACAAGAGCAAGAGGGAGCAACGAAGATATTCTGCGACACAACAAAGCAACGATCTCAATGACGAAGAATCCAACATTTCATAGCAAGACGAAGCACATTGATATTCATTTCCATTTCATCCGTGATTTGGTTACGAAGGGAGAAATTGCTCTGAAGTATTGTAGCACGCACAAACAGTGGGCCGACATACTTACGAAGTTGTTGTCAAATGAGAAATTTTATTACTTTAGAACGTTGTTTGGAGTTTGCAAATTTGAAAATCAAGAGGGAGTATTGAAGGAATGATTCAAATGTAACTTAGTGGCACCAAATTTGGTAGTACTAAGTGGGATAATGGCTTCTAAATTTAGGAGAACACTACTTTAGTGGAGTAGTGGGTCTAGTTAGTGGTTATGTACATGCTATTTATGTTATCATTGTAGTAAGCCTATATAAAGGCACAACATCATCCATTTTCAATCAATCAAACTAAGCATTTTGGTATTCTATTCATATTAGTTTGCCTCTGTATTTTAGCTTTTCCATAGTTACATTGTTTGTTCCCAACAAATCTGACAGAACACCCGAACAGATCTGACGTCGAGCAGATCTCTTAAGCGCGGTAGAGGATGATTTCGACCTATCTGCATATGATTTCAACACAGTGGAGGAATCCACTGCCTCGCATTCCAGTTTCCAGATTCAAGGGTGTCTCTGGTGATTATGATGGTGAGACCCGCCACTACAAGAAGATGAAGCTGTTTCAACCAGCTTTTATCGAATGTTATTGAAAACCTTTGAAAAATAGTACATTTATCAACAAATATGTGAAGTCTTTGAAAACTATATGATCTTTTATCGAAGGTTTTTCAAAACCTTCGAAAATGATGCACTTTTATCAAAGGTTATTAAAAACCTCGAAAAAAGATAAACATTTATCAACAAATTTAAAAATAAACCTTTGAAAATTATGTTATCTTTAATCGAAGGTATTTTGGAAACCTTTGAAAATTATTCACTTATTTATAGAAGGTTATTAAAAACCTTTGAAAAAGAGTACATTTAAGGCTTTAAAAAATATATGATGTTGTATAAAAGGTTTTCTAAAAACTTTTGAAAAAGATACACCTTTGTCAACAAATTTCATAAACCTTTCAAAAACCTTTTATTAAAGGTAATTGAAAACCTTTGAAAATTATTCAAAAGTATTCTGCTCCTTACAATATTGAAAACCTTTCAAAAATAATATCGAAGGTATTTTAAAAAAATTGGTTATTGAAAACCTTTCAAAAATATTATCGAAGGTATTTAAAGAAATTTTATCAAAGGTTATAAAAACCTTCAAAAAAGATATGTATTAGTATTAACTATTATCGATGGTTATTGAAGCCGTTGAAAAAAATATATAATATTATATTATTATTAAAAAATATATATCACGTCCTTTACTTTGTGTTCAATTGCTCGCTCTTCAGCCTTCACCTAGCCCTCTATCTTACATTCGCCGTCATCGCTGTTCTGTTCTTTCAGAAGCTGCATTTTCTGGTATACATCTTTAGTTCCTCACTTGTTTTTCCCTCTCTCTCATCGGACTTTTCTGAGCGAAATCTCTCCCTCTTGTTCTGATCTCGATTTAATTGGAAATTTTACCAATTCCGCTGGAGTTTGAGGTACAAATTTCTCCATATCAACTCTCTTCAATCTATCTCTACAAATTCTGAGTAAAATAATTTTTCTTGGTCTCCTTGGGCGCATGATCATCTAGGGTTTGATCACTCTCTCTGTCTCGCTGATTTTTTGCGATGAAAGTTTTTGGTTCTCTTAAACCAAGGAATGGTTTGATTGTATTTGTGAAGTTGTTTGATTGTATTTGTATGAACTTCTCTTCTACTGTGTTTGTAATGGTAATTGTTAATTGTTGATTGATTTTATTTGTTTTAACCTCAAATTATTGGTATTCCCATGCCTATTGGACTTTCTTTTGTTCTCTCCGTATAGTTTTAACATCTCTCTCTCGATTCTGACAAACCTAATTTCTGATGTGCTTCCAGTTGAAGGCATTGATTATTGGCTCTGCTATCACATTTATACATATAAGAAAATCCACGATTAAAAACTTTTGGACACAAATTTGGTTAAATTAAATATTTGGCTCTTCTGCTCCTGTATGTTGCACTTATACATTGAATTTGACTTGGACGAGAGGTGTATCATTTATGGTGCCGATGGAATTTTATGTTGAGACAGAGAAATCTGTGAGTTTCTTTTTTGTGTCTGTACCTTGAGATGTTCCTTTTTATACTTTGGTTTCAATTTCCATAGTAATTCCCAAGTGATCACTTTCATGGATTCTTTGATATAGGTTTTTGTCACCCCAAAAGAAAGTATTGGGTTTCATGGATTCTATAGGGTTGAGATTATGGATCTTACTCTCATTCATTTATTCTAAAAATTTTCTATTAATGTTCATAGTTCCTTAATTTTTGGAAAATTCATCAACATCATATGTAACATCCCTTGATTTTAATTTTTTCCTTCGTATATGCAGATGTCCATATTATATTGTGAAGAAAAAAACCCAGTGCAGGGATAAAATAAGATAATAAGAAATCGACTTATTAAATATAACCATTTGGATATATAACTCTTGCTTTTGCTTTGCTTATCGTAGAGCATGATTGATTAATTAATTAATTAATTAATTATAGCTAATTTAGTATTTGTTTTATGGGTTAGGAATAATATGTTCACGAGTTAATCTTAATATAGAAGTTAGAGTTTTAATACTAAACTCATATTTGATCTTATACCATAACAGACTGATCTTCTCGTTGTCGCATCCAAGACCCGAAAAATTATAAATATTAAGAAAGACCAGTTTTGTGCTCCATCTGTGAGTGAATTCTATAATTTGATAAATTAGAATGTTTTATTGGTTCTTTCATTTTTTGTAATGTCTATTTGTTGCTGCCATGTAGTATCATTTTTCTTTTCCAAATATTTATTTTTTCCGGCAATGACAAATTCTGCTGAAAAGATTAGAATGGCTGGAAATCGAAACGTGATGGTTTGTGACTTGTGAGAGAGAAACTATGTTTGGATATAGTAAGAAAGTTTTTTTTTTTTTTTACATTGTCTTTTCTTTTAATTATTATATAAGAACAGATCTATTATAAAGGAGAAAAAAAATAACATTGTTTATTATGATTTGGTTGAAGAGAAGGTCGCATTAGCTTCAAATTATTGTTTCTATACTTTTTTCATTTTGTATCAAAAGTGAGATTGATTAACTCTGATTTATTTAGAGCATATTTTTTTACATAGAAAACCAACTTAAGATTATAATTTGAAGTTTTTATTATACATTAAATCTCATAAATCTTCTTCTCTTCCTTTTCTGAAAACAGAGTAAAGCAAAGAGAGAGATTTTGAAGGATTGATTGAAGGTGAAGATATTTGTTTATGAGCCGCTTTATGTGAAAAGAAAAAAGGTTGCTTGCAAAGATTGTTACACTTTTACGGAGTCTTGAAAAGTTGGTTCTTTATGTTGCTTTCTTTTCTCTCTGTTTTCTCTGTTGGGAATGACAAATATTAAAATCTTTTGTTGTCCCACATCGGAAGAATAACCTTTGGGAAGTTGGTTTATAAGCATGGACTCAGTATTGGACTTATAAACTTGGTGTGAGGCAAGCCAAGACCATGGCCCACATGCACACCGCCGTTGTCAGGCTCGGGCCTGGTTTTCCTTTTGGGACAAATTTCACTCCTATTCCGACGAGTGCATTTAGCATCGAGCACAACATTTTTACCTCCTGGTTCCAATTTTGTCGTTTGAAGTTGGAATAGATTAGTGGAAAGCAAAAACAATTTTATGGCAATGTTTATAAGTGTTTTCTATTGAAAATTGTTTTGATTGAGTTGCTATTTTGAATTGCACAAGGACTAAATACAACTTCGTGATGCTGCTATCATAAACTTTTATTGTAAAAATGTTCAAATTTGGCACTTGAATTAGAAGTTTTTATTTCGTTCTTGATTCGACGAGCTTGCTTGGTGAAATTTGATTCAACAGGTTCGTTGAATACTGAATTCTCTCATCCTCGAGTACGCAACTTAGTTTATTGTTATTTTTATGCTTGAGTCAATATGAACAATTTGGTAGCTATGTATCAAGTGGGAATTAAGTATCTTTCATTTTTTTATAATATGAGGTTTCTTTGAATCTCTGATAGGTTACACCTTACGAGAGACCTGCTTTAAGTAAAGGGTATTTACTTCCATAAGGTATGACTTTCTCATCTTGCTGTATAATTGGCTTTTCTTGCATAATAGGGTAGTAAAACAAACAGAACAAGACAAAACCATTTTGAAATGACTAAAGCCTTTAATGATACATTTCTTCAAGAATTGTGACAATAAAATAGATTAAGAATTGGGGCATCACATATGGCTGCATTTCTCAGTAAAAATGTCTCACTTAAGATGCTTATTTGTGAAATTATTGCAATGTTTTTTCAGGTAAATGAATTGATAGTTTCCAACATATTTTTTTTCTTGTGAATCCATACTAGAATAGGCATTATCTAATTATGACATGGGGAGATAGATGTCCAGATCCAAATTCGACACAATCCATACCAGAGAAATATGAGCATATGTTTGAGGTTATGAAGTCGGTATTACTCCTTCTGAGTTGCTTGGATCATCTTCCAAATGATTTTGAGCGACGTCTTAACGAGTCAGAACAACGTCTTCAAGAATCTGAACGACAAAGAAAAGTTGAGGTACCAGGACTCAAAGATCAAATTATTGATCTAGAACATCGTTTTGAACATCGATTTTAAGCAATGATGACATGATGGAAAAAATTCCTAAAGTAGGGGTTATAGTTTTTTTTTTTTTTTTTAGGAATTTGAAGTATTAGTATTATTTGAATTAGTTTTAGAAATACTGTGACTACTTGTTGATCGTTTTTTAGTAATTATTGGTCATAGTAAATAATATTTTACTTGTGTTGAATATAGTTTTGGAATTATAAATTTTAACTAGGAAAAGTAATTTAATTTTTCTAAACAAACAATATTAAATTAGTATTAATTTCAAATTATATTATTCTACTTGATTTTTTTGGAATGATTTTCAAATGTCAATAAAGAAATTTTTTTTAAAGGTTTAAAGATGGTTGAGGATAAGATTATGATCTTTGGGAAATAATGAAAATCTTAAAAAAAAAAAAAAGTAATTGAAACTCACTAATTATTGACAACTAATTTAACAATTATCGAAGGCTTATAGTTTTTGAAAAATATAAATTTTTTAAGGTTAATTGAATCTTTAAAAAATATGAATTTTTTAAGGTTAATTGAATCTTTAAAAAATATGAATTTTTGAAGGTTAACAAAACTTTCAAAAAATCTTTTTCGACGGGACTTATCTCGACACTTTTTGAAGGTTGAGTAAACCTTCGAAAAAATTTATCGAATGTTTATTTTATACTTTTTGTGACCTTTGAAAATAGTTAATTTTCTTGTAGTGCGCACAGTAGCAAATACAAGATTTTTCGATAAAAATGCTAAGATTTTTTTTCATCTAATTGCTCCTAGAATTAATTTGCTTTCAAATTGTAAGAACTGAAGGAGAATTTAGATGAAAAATATTGTTGTTGTGCTATGGAAAGAACCACTATCTTGGAAAGCAATTTTTGCACGACCACAGTACCATGCAGTATGCTCGTCGATAGCTCCTCAAAGTTAATACAACTCCGAACTTAAGCGTGCACACACCGAAGTCTAATGGAATTGGAAAACATACTCAGAAAATTTGTCAAAAGTTGTTCCCGATCTCTAAAGAACAAAACTTGATTTATTTTAATTAAAAAAATTAATCAAAACGTTACCAAACAAAATGAATTAATTAAAATATTAAATAATTAATTCAGGAACGTTTAAATAATTAATTCAGTAACATTCAAATACTTAATTAAAACATAAATAAAACGTTTCTTTTTATTAAAACTTTAAAACATAAACAATTAAAAATATATAATACTTTTTCTTTAATACACATTTTTCATTTATCATTTCCAACCTCTCTGATGCTCAACAATCCACTTGGTTTTTTTTTTTTCCTCGAAAAAACAATCCACTTGTTTATTCTATTAAAATTTGAATTTGATGGTATAACAACTCTAGCATATCTACAATAGCTATTTGTATAATATTTTGATCCAGGGATTGAAGATAACGAATGAACCTTCCCCAATTACTTTATAGATAAATCATTCACAATAATTGGATCCATAATACAAATGAATTGAATAATGAATATTTATATATTATAGAGTGTGCGTGGCCTGCGTGCATGCATGCATATTTATATATATATATGATGAGAATGAAAGAAGACGGCGACGTTTTGAATCTGAGTGGTGGATTCCAGTGCTAGGGTTTTGTGGTTTCAAATATATTATTATTCCACCAAACCCATTAATCTTTTGGTGCAATAATTCATTCAATTTTCCCTTTTTATCTTCGTCCATTTCTTGTGTTGCTTTGGATCAAAAGGTAATTTAGGAGCAACGTTTGTTTCTCATTTTTTATTTTAATAATTGAAAATAAAATTGTGTTTGGATATTTGTTTCTTGTTTTTGTTTTTTATTTTATATTTAAAAGATAAAAAAGAAACTGGTTTGATAATCCTTTATTTGTCTCTCGTTCTTTTAAAATTTATTATATGAAACTCAATTTTGTTGTTTCTAAAATTTCAACGTAATTATAAAAATATTTCTTAAAAATACGACATAATGAGGAACATAAACATTTACCAAACATTTATCTTTCTCAGAAACTAAAAAAATGAAAAAAAATAAATAAGAGACAAGAAACACCAACATTGTCACAGAATTTGAAATTTTTATTTTTTGTTTTTATAGGGTTACGATCAATTGGTTTTGTAATGATGATGTATGATAAGTTATTAACGCAAGAGAATAGAGTAAATAGAAAAATAGATGTATGATAAGTTATTAAAGAGAATAAAATTGAAAGATAATTAATTACTTGTAAAAAATTCCTAGTTTCTGGTATATTGTAAAAAATTCCTAGTAAATAGAAGCTTAAAACTAGTGTAAAATACTAAAGTAATTTATATTATAATTTTCGAGTCAATGTATTGAAAATGAAAAAAAAAAACCCCCACAAAATAAATTACAATTGCATGATCAATGTAAAAAACGTAAAATATATTATATGAAAAATTTGACAATAATTAAAAGTTAAATCAAGACAAAAATCTACAAAGAATCGAACTTAATATCTAGAACTTAATATATATATATATATATATATATATATTATATATTATATAATATCTCAAAATAATTTTAATTTAATTTAAAATAAAAGAAAATTCAATTAATAGATAGATTTTTTTTTTGACAGAATTAATAGATAGATATTGAATTTCAAAAATAAAAGGAAGGTTTGATAGAGTGGTTTGAAAAAAAAAATTGTTCGTGTATAACAAGAGTCTAAAACATGTTGTATCAAAAAACGAAGTCTAAAACATAGATGTAGAGGTAAAAATGGAAAAATGACTTGAAAGTCATCTATACCCTTGAAAGTTGATCAATCATTTTCTTAAACTATGATACTTTTGACCATTTTTCATTTGGATGGTGTTATAGGAAGAAAATAGAGATCAGATTAAGCAAGAAAGAAAGTCGAAGAAGGAGCGGACCCAAAGACGTAAGCGGGTCGGAGCCCAACGACCTGGGCTGGCACCGAGAACCTCTCCAGCGAATCCCAACCCCCGTGCAAGTTGGCCGTGAATAGTACAACGTGAGCCCACTCTGTGATCTCTTGAGTGCATAAGGATTCGACGAATGTAAACCCTAAGAGGATTAGGGTTCAACTGATCCTGAAGGGATTAGGACTCAACCTCTATAAATACAAGGGTAAGTCAAACCTAGAGGTATGCTCACAACACCCTACACCTTATACTCAATCTTTAGTACTATTTTATATTACAGGTCTTTATTCTAAAAGATTTGTGCAAATTTGACAGGATGCCAAATTTCTGCGGATGTATAAATATAGTCAATCATTCAAATTTTTCATCCCTTAAAAACCATGGATATATATTAGCTTCATTGAGTGTATTGAATTGGAATCATTAAAAGTCGTGCATGTTTGGTAATGTTTTTATCTTTTTTTTTTCTTTTTTCGTTTTCAATTTTTGAGAAAATAAGTATTTAGTAATTCTATGTTCTTTCTCAACCATGTCTATTTGGTAACGTTATTATCTTGTTTTTCTTGTTTTCAGTTTTTAATTTTTTTTTAAATAAAGGTATTTAGTAATTATTCTCCATCATTTTTTATTTTTAAAAAATATTTCAAAATTGTGTAGAAATTTTGAATATGTATGTTGTTTGGTCTTCAATTTTTTCTAAAACATAAATAAAATTACTATTTTATCATTTTTTTTACTTATGAAATACATAATAAATATTTAAAAATAAATATAAACATCAAAAAATTTAATATTTGAGTAAAATTAATTTTCATGTAAAAAATTATATTCTTTAGAGAACAAGATACCCGAGAGGATTGTTAATATGTTTTTATTTCCTCCTTTCAATAAAGTAATAAAGCACAAAAAGTAAGAATATCAATTGCTCTATGTAATTATATATTTTTTTATTAATAGGAGGAATAAAAACTAAAAATAACGAACAGAAATATTACCAAACAGACACTAAATTTATATTAGATATTAGGATGGTTTGGGCAATGTGTTTCACCTCCACGAGATTGTTATTCCTAATTAAACAAATTCAACCTGAACTATTAGATTAATTAATAAAGAGAATAGTTGAATGAATTAAGGAAACCAACAAAATAATTGAAATAGAAAAACTTTAAGGCTATGTGATCTTCACCTAACTAATCCTTAAAAATTTTATTTTAATGTACAAAGTTTATTTCCTATGTTTGGAGTAAAATCCTCTAAATTAATTAAGAAACTCAT